GGTTTTCCCAGGATACATCATCAGGTCTTTTTCGAGTGCCATTCTTTTCTCTGTTAGCATTTTTTTTTTAGTTGGAGTTTTGTCATTTTTGCATTCATCATGGCAATCCTTAGTGTAAGTTACTGACTGCTATGATGCCAAGATGCCTGGTAACTGTCACCTGGTAATTTTGATTGCTTAGATATCAGCTGTATTGGAAACTAGTGGAATCAACAAAACAAACAAACAAACAAAAAAACCAAAGAAAACTAAACAAAAATCACACAACCAAAATAAAACCAAAAACCAAACAAACAAAGAAGAGGCTTGATTGTGTTTTGTAGGTCCTACATATTACTTCTCTCAAATCTAAACTGATTGAGACTTGACTGGGACAAGCACCACATTAATTTTGCCAGTAGTTCATAAGTAGCAAACAGGAGATTTTATGAGTTTCATATATTGATAGGAATATTGCCTCTGACATTGATTGCATACTTCTCGCTATTAAAAATTACAGTAGCTCTCAGAGTCAATGTTCTGGAGGCCTTCATTTTTCTGTGCAAGCAGACAAAGATAGTAAACATCTATAAATGCACCACTGGAACAGTTTTGAGTTCAGCTGGTTAACCATATTTAGTAAATACTTTCATCATATACTTTCTGACATAATTTATAGGCTTCTATTCAGGATTATCTTTATAGAACTATGTATAAGAAAAGCTCTGGAGATAGTGAAATGACAATGAAGTTTATAATCTCATTAAGGAAGTGTTGTTAGGAAAGGCTAGTGAGATCACAAGAATACCATTGTAGAAGCTATTATGCGCTGTCAATGCATAAATGAATTGTAGTGTGTAAAGAAGAAGAGGAAAATGTGTACATTTAATTTCTAATGTGTAAATATTTTCATTTTTCAGGCCATTTTCAATCTCTTCCTAAGCTGGGAAAGATAAACTTCCAGTAAGCAACGGATTTCTTATTTGCTCATTGACAAATGAATTATTTATGGTTGAAACACTAGGATGGGCAGTCACACATAAATATGTTTTCTGAAGCTTCTGATGAAAAAAGTAGCAACAATTACAAAAAAAGTGTGGTGGTGGATTTGTTAGCCTCCTGTGTTCTTTAGATTTGGAAGTTTTAGTTTTTACAGAAAAATATATCTCAACACGCATCATGATGGGGGTTTCTTGGTCAAAAAAACTACCAAAAATCCCCAAAACTTTAGAGAAGCATTCCCTTTGCTTTTAGTAATTCTGCTATTAAGGGAATTAGCATAGCAATTGTCTTACCTAAAAGAGTAAAATGCTTAAGGTAATATAAATAAAATAGTCTGTGTCTGAATCTAAGTATTTCTGTACCTGTCCAGAATACGTAATTTATACAACAGACAACTTAACTTATGCCATTAGTATTTAAACATCATCTAGAAGATATCTGCACTATGTTTAGGAAGATTTATTATTATATGATTTTTTGTAATTCTTTTTCTGCAAGAACTTTTGTTGTACTCCTAAATAAATAAGTACAGCTAACGGCTTGGCATGTGCCTTGACTTGCCGTGTACTTAAGACACATAATAATACATGTCCAAATTATACTTGTCTGGGCTAAAATAGCCCAAATAATGAAGCTCTTTTTTTTAGGCTAGTCTTTCAGCTGCTTTTACCAGACTTAAAATGATGTGGAAATTACATGGCTTAATCGCCCTTTCTCTATTGAACATGAAGTACATTTCCTAGTTGTTTTCTCCTTTTAGCCTGACAAAAGGCACGAGGCCCAGCATAGGAAGCTTCACTGAAAGTATTCCTTTCTGTGATTATTGGCATCATCACTGCACATACCACTTCAATGTTGATGATGTGTTCTCTGTAATTTTCTTAATATCTTCCAATCATGCCACTGCATTTATTGGTCACTTACGTAAAGAACAATAAATGCAGTGGTTTCTCTGTACCTGAGAATGAGATGGCAATTTCGTGGGTGTGAGGCTGAAAGGAGGCTTCCCTGCATAGCTTTGTCCCTTAACATTTTCCATCCACAGGGTTCTGCATAGCAATTTTTCCAGAGACAGTGTGGTCATGGCCATGATGAGAAGCAGGGTGTCTTTGTAGATGGGATTAGGCTTGCTTTTAGTTTTTAAGAAGACTGTGACAAACAGAGCAGAAGGACATAGATGTTTTTTAGGTAATACATGCACAGAGGTAAAACTCATTGTTTTTATTACAGAAGAGTGGTTATCTAGTTTTGAATGGGGAGAACAGCAACATTGGTTTCTTTGCTTCTCTGGCTTTTGAGACTGAATATTGATGCTGTGAAAGGAAGAGAATGACATGGTGATGCTGCCTAAGTATTGAAAAGGAGAATGGACATGAGTGAACAAAATGGTTTCCTGTAAATTGTCTGAGCCCTAGCTTCCTAATAATTACTTTAATGAGGTCAGGGCTTTTTTACTGTGAGATTATTGACAATGTATGGTGTAACAAAATTATTTTGTAATGATGAATTAAATATACAGAACTGAATGTGGAGCCTTGCTATCATCAACTGTACAGACTATAGGATTAAAAACTGGACAGTTCAGGATGGGAATCTGTGATTAGTAGGCACTTTTCAGAAAGTCTGGACTTTCTTTTCTTGCTGCTCACTTTTTCATGTGTGCAATAATGGTTTGCAATTATGGACTTTTGGGGAAGGTAGCAAGAGGAGCTGCTGGTTTTTTAATGCAGGCATTGCTACCTAATGAATTTTCCACTGAGTAAGTTTAGCCATAATTTTTAGTTTGAACATATTCTTTATTAATGTGGAAAGGTACGAAATATTTTCATAGTTTTTACTCTTTAGCACAATTATTATAAAGAAAAAAGGCAGTCTTTTCTTCCTTGGTAGAATGTTGATGAAATGAGGGTGGATGCCACGTGGTTGCATGGCTTTGAATTAATTGAATTGTGTAGGTTGACAAGTCAGTGAGAGAGATGATGGAGAAATTCAAGTAGACTTGATAAATCATTTCCTGATTTATAAGGTTTTTGTAAGCAATCATCCTGGGTATGGCTGGGATAGAGTTAATTTTCTTCTTAGTGGTGTTTTGGATTTAGAGTGAGAATAATGTTGATTAACACACTGATGTTTCAGTTGTTGCTAGGTAGTGCATACCCTAAAGTGAGGACTTTTCAGTTTCCTCTGCTTTGCCGGTGGGGAAGTGCATAAGAAGCCAAGAGGAGCAAAACAAGGAGAGCTGACCCAAACTGACTAAAGGGATATTCCATACCCTAACCTCATGTAAATAAACTGGGGGGAGTTGGGTGGGAGCTGCTCATACAGCTTGAGGACGGCTGGACACCAGTCAGCAAGTGGTGAGCAATATTGAATTATGTATCACTTGTCTTTCTTGGGGTTTATTTCTCTCTTTTTTTTTTTCTTTTTTTTTTTTAGTCTCACTTTCCTTACAGTTGTTTTTGTTATCATTATTATTACAATATTTAAATTTTATTTGCTTTTATCCATTTTTCCCCAGTTGTCCTCCCCAGCTCTCTGTGTGATGGGGAGTAATTGAGCAACTGCATGTTACTTAGTTGCTGACTGGGATTAAACAACAACAGCATGATATTGTCTATGTTTATGAATTTCATCCCAGAGGAAAAGAAAAAATCATATTGCTCTTCATGTCTACAGTGCTCAGAACTGTATTTTGATGTATTCAGAACCTAAGTTTGAGGAACAACTGTTTCCTGACAACAAATACTATTCGCATTATCTCTTTTGTGAGTATTATTATCATTGTTTTAAGTGTATGTTAGTTGTATCATATTCATCTTGTTCCTGAGAACTAAGCTGCATTCAAGGGTAATACTGTCTTTTTTTGGTGATTTTTATGAGGTAATAACATACAGGGATCATTAGCCCAAATGTAATCGAAGCCTGAAACTGTGACAGCTGAGAAAATGTGTGTTTTTAGTGATATGAAGACTGTCTTCAGTTTAAAAGTAAGCTGCTAACAGATGTTTAGAACACTCTTCTTTTTCATTAACGATGTGAGTCAAACCCTGAATAGTAGGAAAACAGCTTCCTGCTAAGCCAGTTGTATCACAAATTTATTATACCATGTTTGCTAGACTGTTGGATTACACTGGGCCACTCTAACAATTCTGAGTGTTAAATAAGTTTCTCTAAATATTTTATCTTTTCAGTTAGTGCTGGAGGGGAAAAACTAAAAGGGTTTACATTACACCAAATTAAGATTCCCTTTTTTTGTCTGACAGTGAAATTCCATCCTTGACAATCTTTATCAACTTAAATTGCTGAAGTAAGAAATAACAGGAAGTATATATGAGGGCTAGATTCAAAAAACTAATGGCAAAGAAATGATATTCCTCCTCATTGAAGTATGTACCTTCAGGTGTAAATCACCAAAACTGCATGAGGAAATTGTTGTTCCCTTACTCAGGAGGTGTGAATTTAATCCTTTAATCCAAATTAGTGTCCTAGCTACCAACAGGTAAGTATTCTAAGATATCTTTTTTTGATACTGCTGTTTTATTTTGCCTAATAAATAAAGCTAGGAAAACTCAGTAAGTCAGTTAATCTCAGCATTAAATTGCAGCATTATTAGTGTTTAATACAAACTAAAATAGTTTTATAAAAAGGAATGTGTAAGATTCAAATCAGAATTTTATATAATATTTTCGTGACTAGAAAACTTACCTGTCAGATGAGGAACTTCTGCTGATTTCACTTTCTATTTAATTTATGAAAAAGTATTAGAGTCCAGATTTCACAGGGAATGTAAATAAGGTGATTTCAAAGACAGGATTGAAGTTAAACCCATTTACCAGAAAGCCAAGGCTTGTATACATAATAAAGTGCAACTATAAAAGATCAAGTTTCAAAATACCATTATTTTTTTGAACTCCTGCTTACATGAATATGGAATGCTAATTTAAAATTATGTTTTGTTTATTAACTTGTCTATTTAAAGTAACATTTTTTATAACTTTGCCCTTCTTTTCTTTTAACAGCACCTTCAGGCTTGAAGGAATACCTATACTTGGAGGCACATCAATTAATTTGCATATCAGATTCATCATTGTGACTTCTTGCAGGCCAGATCTGAGAAGTAACCAGGAAAGCTGACCCTTAGTGGAGAATGGAAAAAACCTTGAAGTCAGAGCACAACTGATCACTAGTGTAATCTGCATTGAATCATCTTTCTCAGATCTGACAGCTACAAGCTGAGTCCTGGCAAAAGCCACAGCCTTAAATTCCATTTAGTGGGAAAGAAGGATAAGACAGCTCAATGTCTCGCCCCGTTGTAGAAACTGCTGTCTCCAAGCCTGACACCTGAGTTCTGTGCTGAGCAGCCAGAGTACCAAACAACCAGTTTTTTATGGGTACAGCCAGCATCAACAAATATTTCAATATATAGCCAAAAGGAGAAACAAAGCACTTACATAATTTCAGAAAACGGATACATTTATTGTAACAGAGGAATGTTACTGTCTGTGGGGAAGAAGACCTCTGTCACCCCTTGTACATATTCAAAGCCATACAGGAGCAGGGCATAAGTGAAGCCCAGTCACTTAAAAGGATGGTGTCTCCTGTCCTTCACCCAACTTTGAGGAAGTTCCGCTCTTAGAGATTGCATCTCAATGCACTTCTATTATTTGCACTGTCACTTCCATTCAGGGTAATGATGTGTGCCACCATTTGCACAGATGGCCCCAGGAGATTTTTGACCACAACAAGCTATACTTTGCCAGGGCTCCAAAAGGAATTAAAAAGTTAAAACTGAAGAAAGACATTTATGCTCTCTTTCACTATGGGGATCTCTTCACAGAAAGGACTATGGTTCTTTCTTAGGATGAAATACATGCATATACATACATATATACATATGTATATATATGAAAAAGCAGCAACATGATAAGGTGTATTTAAAAAGGGGATATAATCTTTTTTAATAGCATCCATTTTTTTTATCATATTAGCAGCCGAGAAATTTAGTCTATTGAATTATACATCAAAAAATGTTCCTACTGAACATTGACATTTAGTCCCAGTTACTGCTAAAGAAGTCATTTGTAATATGTATTTGACATAAAATTTTTCTAGCCATTTGTCTATACTTCATGGAGAAATCTAACAGACAAGCAACATTTTCAGTTTATTTTTCTAAATAAATGTTTTGTTTGTATTATTTGCAGTCACTCATTTTGGCTGGTTTTCATTATCTCCTAATGTGATTTAAAGACAGAACCAAAACACAGGGATTGTTTGTTCTTGTTAAGCTGTAATGATTTGCTGAATGAAAGCTTTAATATAAATACTGTAATTTGTAAAATGATGAAGTATATTTATATAGGCAAATATGTATGGAAAACAAAAGGAGGTATTTTATCTCTTAATTTCAGAACATAGTTTATTTTAATATCCACAGGAAGAAATTAAATATATAATTGGATAGGGTTTTTATTATAAGTAAGTGAAAATTTGGATGTTTAAGAATGAAATGAATGTAGTCAAATAATGGTGGTTTCCCAAATTATACAGAGACCTTTTGCCAGCTGTCTCATTTTACTCGAAAACTGGTTTAGTCATCTGGGGGGCTCGGGCTTTTCTGGGGTGTGTGTGTGTGTGCGCTAAGCTTTTTGTTTGGTGCTTTGTTTGTTTCGGCATACTGACAAAACCATGAATTTGATACTGTTTGCTCACAATTTGAAAAGTTACAGAATAAAAGATGGTTTCTTAGAACAATCTACAGTTTGCAGTTAAGAACAGCCATTGTTATCCATCTAATGCAGTGATTTGTTATAGAGTTATTGAACATTTCAATACTAGAGCTGTTTTGAATAAAAATGGTTTTTTCCTTTTTTTCCTTAGTCCATTAGCCTATGTGTAATTTAAAGAGAAAAGTAATGTATTTGGTTCCCAGTTCACTTAAATCATTTGTCTTAAATCCAGTTATATGTATCTGATTCATAAAGCTGAATAGGCTTTTCTTTCAAAGTTCATTGCTTTATGGAAGCATTTAAGTGCTCACTAAAAGAAAAAATACCTTTCAACAACAAAAATTAATTTAAAATAATCTGTGGGTTAACTTTGTGAAGGGCAGATACCTTAAAAATGTGTCGCTCTGCTCTAATGTACTAACAAGTGTTATGCGTGTACGTTCGTGTGTGTGTTTTCACGCATGGCACCCTTACCTGCTCATGAATGAAATGCCAGCTCTGCTGAAGTAAGTGCCACAAGTCCTGTTACTGCAAAAGATGCTCATGTTACTGTATTTTTTGGTGAAAGACCTGAGCTCTGTCTTTGCTTGTGACTCTGAAGCCATAAGCAGCTTTTGAAGTTTGTCAGGAAATCAGAAAATTAAGTAGGTTTATGTTAGACTCCCTCATTTGACAAAGATTGGAATGATCTTATGATTTGACTCTTTTTATGGAAGCTAGTGGTCAATTTCCTTTGGAAAATCAATGGATAAATGCAACCTTTGTATTTGTTAAAGAATGATGGCTGTGTTTTGTTCACACACAATTTAGCTTTTGGCTTATAGTGTTCTTACTGTGATGTCACTTCTGTGTCATTAGAATACATTATTCAGACACACAACTGGCATGGGCTTGGTTTTCCTCCATTTCTGGATCATCTAGATTTTAAAATTGGAGAGCTTGTTCTTTGAGACAAATATTCAGTTGTTTAAGAAAGGGACAACATTATTGAAACAATAAGAAAATTTCAGAATGATAATTTGAACACTTCCGTCATTGCCTAATAACAACACTTGAAAAAGCTTTTATTTTTGTGAACAAAATGCATTCATCTGTATTTGAAAATAGCCCAATAAAAATCCAGTGGAATAATTTGTTACTACTTGCAAATACTTTTCTGCTATGCTGAGTACTAGATCAGCTTGTGTGTAAAATTTTTATTGCACAAAATCCACCTGAAAAAAAAATGCACCGTTTTCTTCAGAAAAATACATGAGATATGAAAAATAATTACTTGGTCCCAGGAGTGGTTTTATGTAACATGTGCAATGCAAAAATGATGAACATATACCAACATAGAGGTCTAATTTAAGTGACAAATGTAGCTGGAAGATAACACTGCAAACCACAGGTCTCACTAATGACGTGCTGTTACTTGCACCTCTGCTTAACTGGGACTTCATGCTGGAAAGTAAATTTCAGGGTGTATGCAGAATCATATAATGTCATGTATCATGTCTTATTTTACTACCAGTGTCATTGGGAGAAGTCCAGATTGCTTGATTTTCATAGATTTAATTTAAATCTTTACGTAAGTATTAAATATCGGATATCAATTAAGATTATGTCTGTATATTGTACAGATACTCCCATGAGATAGCATCTCAACACAGAATTTCAGAAATTTTGGCAAATAATTAGCACTGAAATGCTTTTTCCTAGTTTAAAACCAGAGGAGATAGTTAGATTATCTCCTTGAACAGCAAAAAAAATTTGTTATTTCCATTCTGTTCATCCAAGCATACTGATGAGACCAGCAGAACTCTTTCAACTAAGATGACTTTACAGCGACTGATGGGTCCTTTTTATGTGTCATGCATATAAGAAATGCCTACAGAAATAATTCTGTAGTAATAGTGAATTGTTTCATTAGCTAGCATCTGAAAAGCCACTTAAAATAGGTTTGAAAGCATGAGGTGTGCAAAACAAAAACCTGACAGTTCTAGATGTGTCTACAAGACATAATTTCAGCACTTAAATTTTTAAAAGAGCATATCATCACTCAGGAGAAAAAATGGTATATGTTAAAATATCTCTTTTGCAAAGTGGAAGAAAAAGATTACAAAAACCTGGTGATCACCAGGATATTATAAAAGCATCCCTCTCCTGAGAGTTGCCCCAAGTGTCACATGTTGCAAATGTTACCAAGGGACAGATTTTTTTTTCGCAGATCAGTGATGTACTGGGTACATAGCAAGGCAGTGATGCTGTTAATAAAACTTTACCACAAGACAGTGGTGGGTTATTGTCTAAGGAGGGATGGAGGAAGGACAGCCATCCCTCTGCCCTGGAGCTCTCCACAAGGGAGGAGGCTGGGTCTTAGGAGGAATAAATCAGTGATTTATCAGACTAAATCAGTGATTTTCATGCACTGGACTGTTGAAGATGCCATGAGAGAGGAAGCAAAAGCCAAGTGGATGTTGTTCAAATTACTTCTCTCTGTAGGTTCCATATCCTTGCAGAGCTGCCAGAAACCCATGAAATCTCCCCAAAGTTGGGCATACTTCAGAAAAGACAGTTATAACCAGGGACTCCTGTTTGGGAGAATCTGGGAGAGGGTTAAGTCATGCCAGATGGCACAGAGACTAATTAAGGTATTACTGAAGGCAGAGGACAAATACATTCTGCTTAGCTGGAAAGGCTTGAGAAAGGGTAAAAGGGAAACCGCGTGGCTAATCAGCAGGGTATCAGAGGATACTGAGGGCAAGACGTCCTTCAGATAGCTGAAGATTTTTCAAGAAAATGTAAGGACTAAATGTAAGACTAAATATAATTTTAAAGAAAACCAAACAAAACAGACAAAACAAACAAGCCCAGAGCAACATTACTCAGAACAGTTCCAAGATACTTAAGAGATTTGTCAGCTGCAATAGTTGAAAGAAAAGCGAATTAAGAAATTCTGTTTCTACGACAGCACAGAGGGAAGTCTGGGTGTCGGTCTGTAATGCTGAAAGATAATCAAGGAAGCACTTAGAAGAAGCTATAGGAACAAAATTGTAGCATTTTAATTCTGCTCATGCTGTGGAAGAACTTTTCTAGATGCATACACATGAATTTTTGTAGGGGAGCTCATGTGAAGTCATGGTTTGTCAGTTTGAGGTGGTACAGAACAAAATGAAGGGATATACACCTAAGATTTTTAAAGACAGTCAGGGATGAAATAGCCAAACTGTACCTGTGGTGTGAAATTCATTGTTTAAAGCTATTTTGATAGCTTTTGAGATGTGAGGTTACACCTATGTTGCCATTTATATTGAAAGAGTATGGTCCATTATATCAGTAAGGGGCAGAAGGGATCAAACTGTAATAATATCTTTCTAGAAA